AAAGAAAAAAAAAGAAAGAGAGAGAGAAAAAAAGAAAAAATAAATAAAAATTTAAAAAACAAAATAAATTTTTAAAAAAAGAATGAAGGAGAGGAAGAAAGAAGCACATTTATCAACATGTGCTTCCAACCAGCCTTTCCAAGCCTGGAGACTCTGAATGCATTCTCCCTATGAGAATAAAATAAATAGCAATTTGGTTTCCAGACACATTATATAGAAAAACTATAGCACTAAACGACTAGCACTATTATTACCTAAACCAGTGATTCCCCAAGTTTTTGGCACCAGGGGCCCGTTTTATGGAAGACAATTTTTCCAAGGACCCGGTGAGGGGTGGTTTCAGGATGATTCAAATGCATTATTTATTGTGTACATTATTTCTATTATTGCACTGTAATATATAATGAAATAATTATACAACTCACCATAATATAGAATCAGTGGGTGCCCTGAGGTTGTTTTCCTGCAACTAGATGATCCCATCTGGGGGTGATGGGTGACACCAACAGATCACCAGGCATTAGATTCTCATAAGGAGTGCACAACCCAGATCCCTTGTATACACAGTTCACAATAGGGTTCGCGCTTCTATGAGAATCTAATGCCACCACTGATCTGACAGGAGCAAGTGATAGGGAGCAGCTATAAAAACAGATAAAGTATACTTGCTCGCCCACCCACTGCTCATCTCCTGCTGTGCTGCCCAGCTCCTAGCAGACCACAGACAGCTGCTGATCTGTGGCCCAAGGATTGGGGACCTCTAACCTGGACTAAACAATTAACAATGTTTATATTAAACAACTTATTCCAAGCTTCCATTTTAGACTCTGGAACATCTAAAGTGGTGAATCCACAGGTAGTAAATGGGAAGGAGATAACAGAAAAATTTAAGGAAGTGGAAGCAGCATTGGGAGGGTGCTGGTGAAGGATCCTGAGAAAGAAATCAAATCTTCAGACCGGCACAGTGGCTCACATCTGTAATCCCAACACTTTGGGAGGCCGAAGCAGGAAGATCATTTGAGCCCAGGAGTTCAGGGCCAGCCTGGGAACATGGCAAAATCCCAACTCTACCAGAAAAAAAAAAAAATCTATATATACAACAAATAAGCCAGGTGAGGTGGCACACACATGTACTCCAAGCTACTTGGGAAGCTGAGGTAGCAAGATCGATTGAGCCCAGGAGGTGGAGGTTATAGTGAGCCAAGATCATGCCACTGTACTCCAGTCAGGTGATAGAACAAGACCCTGTCCGAAAAAAAAAAAAGAAAAAATCTCCCATGGTGGATAGTGGGATGGGCTTTTAGAATTTCTCTGAAGATCTGTGTCATCTACAGGCAACAAATTGATAAAAGAAAGAGAAAAGAAAGGAAAAATGGATATAGCATTCCAGCTGCTGCACACAGTCTCAGCAGTAGCAGCGGCTGAAATTCTTGTAGTTCTTCCAGGAGGCCAGTGATCTCTGGAAGAATTCTGTCAATTACTCATAAGTCATTCATCACAAAATGAGGATGTCAAATAACTAGCCTTAAAAGAAAAATCTATGAAGCCAAAAGTAAATCCATCTGCCTATTAGAAGATTAAAGTAAGATTTATATTCTAAAGGTATATTTTATTACTGAAGTAACAATAAGTTGACTTTTGCTATTAACTGAAATTAACCCATGGCTACTTCTATGAACTCTGAATTTTCTAATCATGAATAAACATTCTACCTTGGGATTTCCATAGCAAACATTTAAGCTCAGAAAAGAAATATTACCTAGTATTTCTGGTTACCTTTACTAACATTCAGTTAACATACAGCTGAATAAATGTGAGTTGAATGTTATCCTAAAAGTAAACATGATTTTTAAAATAAAATTTGGAAATTTTTAGAAGTCAGTTATTAAAAATGTTTCACAATATGACTTTATCACATAGTTCTGAGGAATAGTCTACAAGTTTTTTGGCAACCTGAAGATTAGCTGATACATGTTCAGGTAAACATTAAAACTGCTTTACTGTTCCTACATAACTAATTAATTTGTTACACAGAAAAAAATCATATATGTTATCTAATTCCCAACAGGAAGGACCACTGGATTGTCTTTATGGCCACTCCTTGCTATTAACATAGAAAATTAACATGCTCCTCTAAATAGTGTGGTTTACCAAATTTCAGATTCTTAATGTGTCTGTTCCCCTCCATTAGTATAGAAAACAAACATACAACTTAATTTGGAAAAAGTGCTCATATTATGAAGTTATTGGGGGTTTTTAAGTAAAGAGATACTCAATGTCTTTTTGTACTAGACACCCAATTCTACTCTATATAAAATATGCTTCAAATATTTCACAACTATTTTTTGAAAATATTTAGCTTGTAACTGCCTTCACAGAGATTCACTAACATAAAGAAAAAGCCCTTGAGTGTTTCTTCTATTTCTTGGCTTGAAATAATAGTTATCATGGTACATCAGATACCAAGGAAAGCAAGACAAAAAAGTGTAAAAAATAAGAGATTATAGATTTTGAACTCAGCCAAAGAAAGTCTCAACCATCATATCAATTGTTTCTAAAGGAAAACTTTAAGGTATTTTTGTATTGTATAATTTGCAAAAATGAAATTGTCAATTATAAAACATACCTTGCTGAGCTAAAGTTGATCTAAGCATCCCAGTCTTTGACCAAATTTTTATTTGTCCATCTTCTCCAACTATACAGGGAAAAGAATTTAATCAGTGTTTTTACCTATGGAAAATAAATTTAAACATTAAATTTGAAACATTAAATTTAAACATTAAATTATAGGTACTGTTGATTTTGTAAAAATCAACAGTACCTATAATACTGCATATTCTATTTTTTCTAGGCTCCCTCAAATCATGGGATATTAACACATATTTAAAATTCAGATACAGTTTAATTAAATGACAGAGTGCTTTATAACTGTATCAGTTAACAGAAATTACTTTGAGATGATTTTGTCAAAGTAGCTTAACTTTCATAATTAAAAATTTTATTTCCTTTAATCTTAGAAGACTTATAAGTATATACTCAAATAATGTTTCCTTTGTCACTGCAATCTCCATCTTAGAATTCTAAGAAAAGTGTTTCCAATGTAATAAGAACTGCAGCCAAATTCCAGTGAGTTGGGGAATGAATGAAGTGAAGTAATAAACTACTCTTTTGAACAGCTTGGCTGAAAAAGGGAGAAAGAAAATAGTTGCAGGTATAGAAAGCTGTTTATTAAGAGAGGGATTTTTATTTCTTCTTAATTTTTAAAATGAGTGACATCTGAATATATTTACATGCTGACAAAGAAACCACTGGACAAGGAGACGTTGAAGATACAAGCAAGAGAAGGGACAATTCACTAAGGAAAGTACTAGAGAAAGCCCAGAGTATAGGTATGGTGGTTTTAAAACATATCCTCAAATTCTTTGTTATTCTTCCCTTCAAGAGGCACAGTTTAATTTCCCTCTCTTTCAGTGTGGGCTATACTAAGTGACTTGCTAAGTCAACAGAATATAATTGAAACAGAGTACGATTTCTGAGGATGCATTACAAAAGATACTGTGGCTTCTACCTGGCTCTCTTTTGGATCACTGGGAGACACCAGCTGCCATGTTGTAAAAACACTTAAGCAGCCTTATGGAGACGCCCCTGTGGCAAAGAATTAATTAAGGTCTTCTGTCAAAGCCAGAGAAGAACTAAGGCCTCATGCCAACAACCATGTGAGAAAGACATCTTGGAAGTAGATCCTCCAGCCCCAGACAAGCCTTCATATGACTGCAGCCCCATCCAACAGCTTGACTAGAACTTCATGAGAGGCTCTTAGTCAGACAGAACCACCCACCTAAACTACTCCCTGACCCACAGAAACTATCAGAACCTATATGCTTTATTATTTGAAGTCACTAACTATTGGAGTAATTTGTTATGAGCAATTGATGACTAATGTAATAGGTGAAGATAAGAATCCTTAGTGTAGGACAGGGGATGGGAAAGAGACAGAAGGGAGATAAAGATCAGTTAAATGAGAGTATTTGCAATTTTCAAATTTTAAAGAATTATAACTTTTATTTATTTGAAGTCACTAACTATTGGAGTAATTTGTTATGAGCAATTGATAACTAATGTAATAGGTGAAGATAAGAATCCTTAGTGTAGGGCAGGGGATGGGAAAGAGACAGAAGGGAGATAAAGATCAGTTAAATGAGAGTATTTGCAATTTTCAAATTTTAAAGAATTATAACTTTTATTTATCTTATACTTGACCATTCCAAAAGCCTTGTTTAACATAACAGTCTCCCAAGGTCACATGAGAAAACAATTAATATAATATTCTGCATTATAACATTTATATAGCAGTGTAGAACAACACTATGCCAATTATTTGCTATTAGACAATGAAAGACACTATTGCTAAATGAAAATATTGTTTCTTTGGAAATTTTTCTTTAAAAAATTCAATTCAAATGTCATTTTTACAGACAACTTACCTGTAACTAATGCTGTTCCTTCGTAATTCCATCTTCCTGCAAGTACTGCTCCACAGTGAGCTTCTACACTTTTTTCCACTCTTCCTAACTTGGAAATCAGATGAAATTTACCTAAAAGAAATTACATGTGAAAAATCTATTTTATTAATTTATTCAATCAACAAAGCACTTACTACTAGACTATGTAATAGGTGCTAGAGGCATAAAGGCAAATATTAACAATATAATTATTCTTAATCTCAAACATAAATCTATTAGAAAATAGGCACAAAAACAAAATTATTTAAATATTGTAAAATATTTTAAAATAAATTGAAAATGCATATGCTTAGCTGGTTCAAAATAATTATATATGTTCATAACAGTGAAAAAATCAAAATTCAAAAACATTTTGATTTAGTTAACATAATTTAAATACCTATGGTCTGGGTATATGTCTATGTTTCAGAAATAACATGCCAATAAATATATCACACCTATGGATGGGAAAGTGTTTTAAATTACCAGCTGTATATGATTAAATTTAATGATCATTCAGAAACCACATTGATCCTTCCTTTCTTGGCTTCTTGTATCACTTATTCTTTGCACTGTTGATTTGTCTCTCTGACATCTCATATAATTAGCTTATGTCCTTTAGAGTTACGCTGTTTTTATTTTTTGCCAATATATGTATATACTTCTGCAACTAAGTGGCTTGCTTTTGTCTACCTGGTACCTGATAGAGTATAAAATTATATAAGGCAAGTATTTTAAAACTTGGGATTATCCATTTTACTATTTGGTTCCTCTCCTTTATGCCTTTTCCAGCATTTTTATAGACTGTTTAAAAAAAAAAAAAAAGTCAAGAGTGCAAAACTGTGCTTTCTTGATACGGACTTCAGTGACATTTCTCTTGACCCTCCCTTGGCCACATCACAGCAGATTTTTATGTCCCTCTGATTTATCATAGCACTATATATCTATGTCTATTACATCACTTGTTTGAAGGTTTTATATTCACAGTTCTTAGCTCTATCTACTGACAGGGCCTTGAAGCAAATATACCCCACTGGAATGAGCAGAGCTAACACTGTTATCTTGTTTTTTAAAATACCATTAGCCACCAGAAAAAGAACAGGTCTCTGTGGAAAATGGCTGATTTGGGGGCAGGGACTAAGAAAGTACAAGATAAGCCTGGAACATCTTGTGCCAGCAAGGAAGGCTCAAAAAATGATGAAGACACATATAAAATTTTTTTAAAAATCACCGTAGCTGGCTTGATGGGGCTCCCACTGGCCAAATCTGGGGCACTTTTAACATCAAAATTTTAAAAATGATAATAATATTTACGAAATAAAATAAGAATCTACAAGTCTAATCTCATCCCAAAAAACAAATAAACATATGGACATGGGGCAGGAAGCTCTTCCTTGGCGTAGAATACCAACTAATCAATATGGAAGGAATTATGGAGTTGGAAAAATCACCATTTGGCAAACCATCTTAGTAATAAGTGATTCAGCCAACAGTCATCAACAGATGCTAACAGAGTGGGAGGAAGTTTGATGAGGAAGAGAATATTTTTACATAGTGTCAAAGTATCTTTTCACAAATTATTAAAAGGAGTAAATAGTAACTTTACAGAGATTAACTTAATGAGCATGAACTTATTAACTTATAATTAAGGTTAACATAACCAATAATGGGTCAAACCAACATCATAAATCTCCTAATCTGCTGCCCTGAGTATCCTGCTAAGGACGTATAAATTGAATCTAATCATGAGGAAATATCAGACAAAAATAAATGGAAGAACTATAAAATAACAGGCATATATTCTTCCAAACTGTCAAGATCATAAAAGAAAGACTGAAGAGTTGTTCCAGATTAAAGGAAACTAAAGAGACACAATAAAAGCAATGTATTATCCTGTACCAGCAAAAACAAATTTCTATGGAAAATTAGAACAATTGTTAAAATGTAAATATAAACTATAGATTAGATAATAGTATTGCTAAATGTCCTGATTTTTATCAATGTATTGTGGCAATGTAACAGAAAATTCTTATTCTTAGGAAATGCATTGAAGCATTTATGGCTAAAAGTACATGTATGCAAATTACTCTCACATCTTTCAGAAAAAGTGTGTGTGTGTGTATGTGTGTGTGTGTGTGTGTGTGTGTGTGTGTGTGTGGTGTGTATGTAGAAAGAAACAGAGCCAATATTTTGTACCAACGTATACGGGACAAAATGTGAATCTGGTGAATCTGGATAAAGGACATGAAGGAAATATTTGTACAATTCTTAAAACTTTTCTGTAAATGTGAAATTACATCAAAGTTATTTTTTAAGTCAATGGCTCACTTTATCATCTGAGGTAAACTAAATTCTAGCTGTGGTTCATCTTCTAAGCGCCAGGCACCCTACCAAGTGATTTTACACATGTATCTCATTTAATCAAGTTTGCAAAAAAAAAAAACTTTTAAAAAACTACCACAAGTCTCTCTGTAAAAGAGGTGTAATCTGAGATTCCTAATAGCCTTTCCCTCTTCTGGTAACAAAAGCACTCTTCTTTCTCTTCCCCTTTGCATGTGGATGGCCTGAGGCTGGATATACTCCGTCAGTGTCCCAGAGTCTTTTTTTTTTTTTGAGACAGAGTCTCTGTCACCAAGGATGGAGTGCACTGGTTGATCTCGGCTCACTGTAACCTCTACCTCCAGGTTCAAGCAATTCTCCTGCCTCAGCCTTCCAAGTAGCTGGGACTACAGGCATTCATCACCACACCCAGCCAATTTTTTTGTATTTTCAGTAGAGACGGGGGTTTCACCATGTTGCTCAGGCTGGTCTCAAACTCCTGACCTCAAATGATCTGCCCCAGGCTCCCAAAGTCCATTCTCTTGACTCAACTGATTGACTCAGTGATGGGCACATGACCCAAGTTCATAGGTTCCCTCTGCAACCTGCCTGAGACACTGAGGAAGAAGCAGTCTTATGAAGTATGATGAGCCTTGGCTACTGGCTGCATCGTATTCACCATCATGTTGACCCTGTGGACAGAGCCTACCCAAGTGATGGTAAGAACAGGGGCCTGATGCCAGTAGTGCTTGATCTACTCCAAGAGCTGGGTGAACCAAAAAAAAACTCCGTTTGTGCTTAAGTTAGCCAAGAAGGTTTCTGTTACTTTGAATAAACGTGCTGCTAACTGAAACAGTAGGTAAAGTATAATACAGATGAAAGCAGTTCAAGTATTTCTAAGAAAACAAATATAAAAACAAACCCTTAAAAGTGAAAAAAAAAATAATGCTTTCTATGCACCAATAGAAAGCTGTGGTCAAATTATATAACTCTTCAACTCTGTAACTGAAAATTAACATGTACTGGAAAATAAAGGATTTATTTAATAGATACCTTACTAAATGAGTATGTATCTGTTTTCATTAGGTTGTATTAAGTTAAATTTGAAGAATTTAGAAACTAAAACTATGATAACAGCTTAACTCAACTAGTAAGAGTACTAAAAAAGTAAAGCCAGCTGGGCATGGTGGTTCATCCCATAATCCCAGCACTTCAGGAGGCCAAGGCAGGAGGATTACTTGAGGCCAGGAGTATGAGACTAGCCTGGGCAACAAGATGAGACCCTGTCTCTACAAAAAAATTGTTTTAATTAACCGATGTGATAATATGCACCTGCAGTCCCAGCTACTCAAGAGGCTGAGGCAGGAAGATTGCTTGAGCCCAGGAGTTTGAAGCTACAGTGAGCTATGATCACATCACTGCACTCTGGCCTGGAGTGAGACCCCAGTATCTAAAAAAAAATATATATATGTAATAAAGCCAAAGGCCCATATTCAATCCTAGCATATGCCAGTTAGATTAACTTTCTTCCATGACAATAGTCTCATAGCCTATACACAAACCAAGTGACTATTCAGAAAAGATATACAATGTGTGGATAAAAGTATGCAGATCTACCAATATCAGTTTTGTAAAACAACTCAAAGCACAAATAATACTGTTAAGTCTTTTAAATACAATGGTAAGCATATAATGTTTATTAAATACTTACCATCAGAACTTGTGAGGACAAAGCTTTCTGCCTGGGTTTGTTTCTTTACACCCAAACTTTTTGGAAACCAGTGAAAATCTATAGGGTAAATATCATCAGGAAGCTTTACTATTTGAGTTGTTTCACTAGTTAACAAGTTCCACTTCACTATCTGGTGATCATCACTACATGAATACAGCTCTTCAGCAGTAGTCCAGCCCACACAGCTTACTAATTCTTGATGTGTCACCACGTTAAAGAGATATAAAACATACAAAAGTCTTAAGACTTTTTATGAATAAATAATTAATGAATAATTCACAGATACTGATTATAAGGTGTAAGTAAAATAGGGTCAAATGTTTTCAAGCTTCTAAATGTATTTTCCATTTTATGACTGGTATTTTTTTCTATATAAAAGAAAATAAGCATCTGTTAAAACAGTTCTAAGAATGGAAAGCAAGAAAGAAATCCAGATGATAAAAGGGGAAGAAAACATCTGACCACATGAAAATTTACAACTTGTGTTATACAATATTCTACAAACAAAGCCAAAAGGTACACAAAAGAAACCTAGTAGATCAAAAGGTATCAAAGGATCTACACATAACTGTTGGGGGATAGGTAGGGAGCAAAGGGAACCATACTTTTTTCTTTTTATATATCTGTGTCACTTAAGTTATTAAAATAAGCATGTATTCTTTTGCTAAGAAAAAAAATCAAGTGTCAAAAGAAGACTGAAATCTAACAGTAAGATACCCTTTTAAATCATATATTATCATAACAATTCACCTAGGAAAGAACCTATGGCTTAACAGCTGAAACTAAAATCTTACCAAACTTTTTCCATTTTTCATTTTATATTTTTCACTTATTTTTCATTGACAATTCCAAACTTTCTTACATTAAAACTAGGAAATAATTCAATTATGATTTAATTCACTTATAAGATGCATAGTGCTGGATGAGATAGAATTCCAAAAATTTTTACTTTATTTAACCCATTTTTTTCGGTCTCTAATTTATCAGAATTTCTATGTAGGTTGAGATGCTCAAGTAGCCCTCACTTCCGCCATCAGGACAGAATGCTTACCCTAGCAGAATTGTGGTACCTAAAGGCATTTCAGTTTGTTATTTACAAAGAATGTTTTCTCTTGCTACATCTGGATGTCTACACTGCCAGATTATTCCTAGTTGTTTGTTCTTATTGTTATGATATAATCCTTTTATTTCCTTCATTTCTCACCAGTACTTTTTTTGTCTTATCTGAGGAATAGTTTGCTTTTTCCAAGGAAACAGAGACAATGTGCCATAATTATTCTAGGATGTTCCAAGATTTTTTAATACTTCAAAATATGACAGATTAAGCAGAAACCAAAAAGATAAAAAGAGATTACAGAAAGATAGTAAGAGTCTGCACAAAAAGGTAATAAAGAAAACAGTGGAATACTCAGAACTCAAAACACGATCTAAACAAAAGGACACTGGACCGTTCCCAAAAAAACTGTTCTATTAAAATTGCTGTCGCCTAATCAATGTTAGGTAACACCTAAAATGGGAGAAGCTTAGGTAAAACCCAGAAAGGAAGAAAACTCACACAAACAAGTATGCACACATCTAAAACAAAAAATCATTAGCTTATCCTTATATAAATTGCTATAAGTACATGCCAGACATCCATGACATTATCTTCAAACTAACAGGTCAATTAAAATTATGGGAGAAATGAGAGGACTGCCAGATCAAGAAAGTCTAAAAACATTGTTATTCCTTGGCTTGAAAGGTAAAAGCAGACAGTAGACATGGTCTCAAAATCTATAAAATTGTGTATGGCATGAACTCTTGAAAGCACATTTTTTGAAAAGACAGTAAAAATGATTTAAGGAGAAATAAACATAATTACATCTTCACTTAATAGCTAAATAAGCAGACAAGATAACACAAAATGAAAACACCAATTTAAAAGGTCTGATCAAATGTTTAAATCAGTGCTTTCCTAGTTCTTACGAAGGACCAGATTTTTTTAAAATTTTGAATCCATTGCAGATGGGTATTTTGTAAGATATAAGAAAAATGAAATACTAGAAAATTTGGACATTATAACAATGTCAAATTGCTACAAAAATTTCTCAGCCCTTACTTTCAATTTATTTTATTCCTTCATAGACTTGCAATAAAGTCTACAAAAGATACTTTGAATAGAATTAGTCTAAATGTCTAAGAATGATGATAGTGGGGCCTGTCATATCTCCTTGACACATAACTCGGGACTCTTGCTGATAAAATATAGGGTCACGTATTTGAGAAAATATTACTGATTGCCACCTTCCCATGTGAAATGAAGATTTGACTGCTCAGGTTTCCCCAACTTGTCCTTCACTTTATCATGAATGTTAAGAAATAGAGCACAGCTGAATTTAATAAATGCTAGATCACACTAGCAAAGAAATTATTTGTTTAAAAAAAAAAAACTTGCTTTTTTGGCCAGGCACGGTGGCTCATGCCTGTAATCCCAGCACTTTGGGAAGCTGAGGCAGGCAGATCACCTAAAATCTAGAATTCGAGACCAGCCTTGCCAACGTGATGAAACCCTAGCTCTACAAGAACACAAAATTACAAAAATTAGCCAGACGTGTTGGTGGGCACCTGTAGTCCCAGCTGCTCAGGAGGCTGAGGCAGGAGAATCACTAGAACCTGGGAGGTGGAAGTCACAGTGAGCTGAGGTCGCACCACTGCACTCCAGCCTGGGCGACACAGCAAGACTCCGTCTCAAAAAAAAAAAAGCTTATTTTTAAGATCTTAGGACAAAAACTGCTTTTTAAGTATTTAAGTATAGTACTTAAGTAGAGTAAGAAAAATGTCAGTAAGAATTTGAAAGTAAGATTTATAGCAAATACTTCACTTTGGAGAATTACCTACAACACGTGATCTTAAATATTTTAAAACAATTTAGGTAAACAGCCGCTAAAGGAATGAAAAAAAAAAAATCTATTCTTCAACTAGAATATAAAATAGAGGAAAGTTTTAACAATACTATAATTAATAAAACAATACTATAATTAAGAAAATCACAATAAGATTTATAAGCATTAAAAGGATATGCTTTGGTTCTTTTAAAAGAGATATCTTCAGTCTCATGACTCCACTTCTAGCAAAAATTTCAGAAGCCACTTGATTGTATTTTCTGTAAACATAAAAGGAGAGAAAATATAAAGCCAGCATGAAAAACAAATGTATGTGTACACACAAAAAAAGCAAACAAAACATCTTTGCACCCCAAGGAGCATCTTCAATCCTTCTGACACCAAGTGCATGGAAAGAGAAAGAAAACTAGTGGGTGTGCCAATCTTGGCAAGAGATGATGGAGAGCCTTGGGTCAAACCCCAGGAGTCTTCTACAACCTGTCTGAGACAGTCCTACGCAGAACACCACTAGGTAAATCTGGTCAGGTAAAGAATTTCCATGTCTTGAGGCCAAATCAAAAGATTCCACAAACTGGGAACTCTTCAATTTTGGTCCTGTCTACTGGATTTAATTAAATATACAAGGTCTGATTGAAGACTAAGCTACAATTCTAGAATCCATGTGGAAAAATATAATATCATAAACGTAGGGGCCCAATCAGGGGTTGACATCCTGCAGTGGGGGCAGATACACTGCCCAACAGTTATGGTTACCACAGTAACAATGTAAAAAATAAACGACTTACTTAAGGAAGAGGTAATAAAATGCTTATGAAAGTTATGTAAAAACCACAGTGTAATTGCCAAATAAAAACTTAGAAAAAGAAGAATAACATTTCCCAAATAGCCATATCATCAAGACACAAATCATTGCTATGAATATGTTGCTGTACAAAAAAAAAAAAGATAGAAATCAAGAAAATGCTAAATTGTCTGAGTCCAATTTACATTTACAGAATTCTTTCTGAGTGACATCACTAACCTAAATAAATATAAATCAAATGAAAGTGTAATTAATGGGAAAAAAATCCTCTTTACCAAGTTGACAATTACTGCTAACTACATCAAAGGAGGTCCTAACTATAGATAAGAATTCAGTAGGCCTCCCTTAGATAATTTCTCATTCTCCTGAATCCAAGAAACTTTAGATCAGCAAGGTGCTAAATAAAGCTGTATTTCAAAGCACTCTTTTCACTTCTTTCTCTTTCAGTTCTCTTAGGGTGATTTCTGTTGAACTTCAAAAATATGAAACTATGTGTAGCACAGCCAGAGCTAGATTACAATGTCTCCCAGGCATACTTCCTAGGTTCACTTTTTTGGTCTTTAGGAGTTCTCTACCTTCCTCCAAGCTCCCTCTTCCATCAGGCCCCCTCCAATTAGAAAGGGGAAAAAAGACGAATAACATTTTATGAAATGCCGCTTTTTCACAATAATTGAAATTTACTCAGCTTATAAGGATTTTAAAAGAAGAAAGGCAGATAAATATTTGCTTCTGGAAATGCAACACAATCGACAATAAAGTACACATAAAAGCTGAATATACTATTACAATCAGAAACTTAAAAGACATTTTTTTATTCTACATCAGAAAACCCAAAACTGCAAAAATCCATATTAAAATAATTCCTCACGAGAATAAATCGTAATCCCCTACAAATAGTAGAAGCAGTATGGTTTTTGTTTTGTTTTGTTTTTGAGATGGAGTCTTGCTCTGTCACCAGGCTGGAGTGCAGTGACATGATCTCAGCTCACTGTAACCTCCGCCTCCTGGGTTCAAGGAATTCCCCTGCCTCAGCCTCCCAAGTAGCTGGGACTACAGGCGTGTGCCACCATGCTGGGCTGATTTTTTGTATTTCAGTACAGACAGAGTTTCACCATGTTGACCAGGATGGTCTCTATCTCCTGACCTCATGATCCACCTGCCTCAGCCTCCCAAAGTGCTTGGATTATAGGTATGAGCCACCGCACCCAACAGAAGCAGTATGGTTTTCATAAGAAAGGAATCACTAACCATTCAGAAACATCATGCCAAGGAATCAGAGAAAGAAGACGATGGCATTCTAACACTGGGAGGATCTTCCCTTACTCAGAAAGATCTTCCCCACACATTCCATTTATCTGAGATCATCTGTATGAATGATATGTGTGCTTTGATGTGAAATTGAACAGGGGAATAACAGAAAAAGTAATATTAAAACATAGCCAATTTGGGGAAGTGCAAATGTGCCTGAATGCTGCATTGAGGTGTTTTTATCTGCCTAAGGGCACTGATCATGAGGCTCTGACTATCCAGTGGTATTGGGGCAGGGGTTGGATTTAGATAATAGAAAGAAAATTTTGAGGGTATAGGTAACTTTGCAAGTTTACAGAGGGAGCAAGTAACAGCAACTATGTCTTTGCTACTAAAAATCATTTAAAAGTTGTTTTTGGTCCAGTGTGGGTCTACATTTATTAGGCTTAAGAGGAAAAAATGTGCCCAACAAAATGTGACAATCCAACCACTAAAATATACAACAAATCTGGTCATTTCTCAGTACCTTCCTCATAGTCCAAAGCCACCACCATCCTCTGCCTCAATTATTGCAGTGGTCTCAAAACGCATATTCCTATTCATATACTTACCCCTACAAACTATTCTAAATACACCAGCCAGTAATTATTTTAAAGCTAAGTCAGAATATGAAGGCCAGTATGCCTAAAATAACATAAGTAAGGGACTGGCAGGAAATTAGGGAAGAAGAGGGTGGGACACATCATGCAGAGCCTTGGAAAGTCATAATAAAAGCTTTAGTTTTTCTTCCGAATGAACCAAGAAGCCAGTGGAGAGGTTATAAGCAAATAGGCAATATAAGCTGACTTACATTTTAAATGGATGCTATGGGTGGTATACAAAAAAGAGCCTATCAGGAGAGAAAATGAATAAGACTGGAAGCAGTAAGACTAGTTAAAGTTTCAATAACCCAGAAGAAAAATGAAAGTGACTTAGATAAAGAAGGACAAGGAAGGCAGTAGTACAAGTAGCATGAAGTGGTCATATTCTAAATATATTATGAAAAAAAGATTTCAGAAGATTTGCTGATGAATTGGGTTTAAGAAAAACAGTAGTAAAAAATAACTGTAAAATTTCAATAGGTAGAATGAAGTTGCCATTTACTGAAATGAAGAACATTGAGAAACAGGTTGGAAGGGGCGATATTAAACATTCTGTTTTAGATATGTTAAGTACAAGGTGTCTATTAGACAACCCAATGGCAAAGCCAAAGTAAGTCTGGAGTCAAGCGGGAAGTTGGAGTTGCGGATTGATATCAATTTGAGGGCTGTCAGCAAAAGATCATATTCAAAGCCATGCAATAAGATGAAACTACCAAAGAGAACATGAAAAAGTGGTAGATTCAATGGCCTGGAAATCCTACTGACGTCTTTAGAATTGTTAGCATTAAGATTCCAGAGGATGTTAACTAGCAAAAACAAGAGGAGATAGACAATGGGATACTTAAAACAGATTTTTGGGCCAGTATAAATATTGGTAATGATAAGATAGGTTATGACTGTGAAAGTGGGTGGCCCAGGTCAAGGAACTGACAGGCCAGGCAATGGACTAGACTTATTTGTGGACATTTAAATCACTGAAGATAATGACAAGAATAGTACTAGAGATAGAGACAGCAAGATGCTAAAATATTCATTGAATGAGGACAGAGCAAAGAGTTCTGCAGAGGACTACATAAAAGCACAGCAGAGAATGGTTTAATCTGGTAGGACTTGTTTCAAATGGACCAGGATATTTTAGACAGGAAGGAGAAAGAGAATCAACTGTTCAGAAACAGTAATGAGAGATAAGACTCTGACATATGGGAGTTTGGGAGGCAAAACAGCCTCTACTTGAGAGATCTGTAAAAGCAGCTTCTCCTTAAGAAACAGCCAGATTTAAGTTAGACTTCAAGAGTAATGGGATCATTCAGAATAAAAGCTGAGGACACTGATTTGGCTAATGACACACCATGAGTTCCAAAAAAATTTAGATGGTGAAGAACTAATGGTTTAAGATAGATGGAGATGGTAGAAACAGCTAGCTATCCCACAATATCCATTCATCCCTGCTTCTGTGGTATAGGAATTTGAAGTTTTGCTGTACATCTGGCCTCCTGAAATGAAGACTGTTTCCTAGCTGCCCTTGAAACCAGGTGTGGCCACACAGGGTATTAATAATACTGAAACTGACAGTGGCTATTGTAATATCATCAACCTACTGGCCCAATCTGGCTTTTATATTCTGTGAAGGGTAGAAATGAAGAGGCAGGACTCAACTCAGGAGGGAGGGCTCCAATGGGACCAGACAGGGGACTGGCTAAAACATAGAATAGGTGAAATCACCTCTCTGCAAGACACATCCATCGGTGTGCCATGTAGGTTTACCATTGCCACAGTAACACCAGGAAGTTACCTGTTTTTCTAGAAATTTCTGTATAACTCACCTCTTAATTTGCATAAAGTTAAAAGTGGGCAAAAATATGACTGCAGAACTGCCTTTGAGCTGCTCCTCTGGGCACACTGCCTGTGGGGTAGCCCTGCTGCACATGGAACAGTACCTTTGCTGCTGCTGTACACTGCTGCGTCAATAAAAGTTTCCATATAACACCACCAGCTCACTCTTCAATTCTTTCTTGGGCCATGCCAAGAACCCTCCTGAGGTAAGCCTCAGTTTTGGAGCTTGCCTGCCCTGCATCAGACACACTGCCCAACAATAATACCACCTAAGTTCATATTGCCTAATTTCAGAGTGGCAATGTGAAAAGTGAGTTATCTGAGAACCCCATTTCATTACCTCTTATAAAAGTTATATAAAATCACAGCATAATTGGCAAATAAAAAAACTTGGAAGAGTGACACTCCCCATGCCATGCCATCAAGGCCATGTATAACACAGCAAGGTAAAAAAGAGCCAAGATTCCTGACCTTGTGGAAAGTCACATCAATTCTGTACCACTGAAGTTTAAAGTGATAGAGAATAGTTTTATTTAAGTTACTGTCATCAACAGCTAATCCTAAGAACAAACTAATGCAGGGAATTAAGAGTCTTAAATGTGGAGACTGAGGTAAACAGGGATGTAAGGTATGACAGAGTAGTCCCCTATGCCTCTTGAGAAATGGTGGCTAATCAATTTAAACTGTAGCCTTCCTGGAACTGCTCTCTTAAGCAGTGTTGATACAGGCTTTTGTA